GAACCCCTTTCTCATGTCGGTACTCCCTTGGAATTTCCGCAAATTTTCATGTAAAATTTACCCCTTCCCATGGAATTTCCTTGTAAAAATTACCCTTCCCCATGGAATTTCCATTTTAAATTAGGCCTTACCCATGGAATTTCCATTTAAACTTTGGCCCTGTCCATGGAATTTCCATGTGTAAATTACCCCTCCCTAATGGAATTTCCATCATGGGACATTTACTCCCGGAAATTTCCCTCTAACAAGTGCCCTCCCATGGAATTTCCATCCCATCAAATTTACCCCTCTGGAAATTCCATGTGAGAATTACTCCTCCCCTTGGAAATCCAGAGCCTGAATGTCCCCTTCCCTGGAAATTCCAGGGTTAATGTATTCCCTCCCCTGAAAATTTAAAGTTAAATATGCACCTCTCCCCTGGCAATTCTAAGGTTAATACACCCCCTCCTCTGGAAATTCCAAGGTTCCTCAACAGGGGGGTGCAGATAATAATTGGAATAGCCCATTTAGTAAAATTGTGGCTAGTGTTCAAGCCACCATTGCCCCCATTCGCTCGGGAGTTTTTTTGTAAATGGTTTCTTATGTTTGCATCATTCACTATATAGCCACCAAAGAAAGCTAAGCGACGTGCCATGTCTTTGCCAAGCCCTAAAAAGTCTTCATCCAAACATGACAATTCAAGCAAGTACCCTAAAAGTTTATCCGTTAAAGATATGCTGCACCTGGGAAAAGCCCTTCCAAAGAAGGAGTCGACCATTATATCAATTTTTCAATTTAATTTCAAACACATGCGTTGGTCAAGTGTACCCATTAAAGCAGAGTTCATGATTGAAGAATTGCCATTTGCTACTGGTGGATTCAGGGAAGCCTTTAAGGCCACAAGTATAACAGCTGGCTTTGAAGAAACAACATGGGTAGTGAAGAAGTACCTGACCACTGCTGTAGACGTAATTAGAGAAACTAACGAGACAGAACAAACACATGCACAGAAATCAGTACAAATGCATTATTTGGCAAAAAATTTTGCTTCACAGCTAAATGAAAAAATTGTCAAAGATGGAATAACAGATTTTGGTGAAACCTTTTCATACAAGAAAGTCTTCATGGGTAAAACAGATGATGGGGAGTATGTAACAATTGAGGAGTACATAGATGGTGACTTTGTCAAATACATAAATAACGATGGAGATATCTGTGAAGATGGAGACATTTGTGATAAGGCGCAGGCATTTGCTCACTTCACATATGAAAAATCAGAGGGCAAGTTAATTGTTTTAGACATCCAGGGTGCTGGGTACAATCTATACGATCCCGAAATTGCTTCATTGCATTTGCTGGGTGATGAAGGCAATTACATGTTTTGTACTGGGAATTTGTCTGAAACAGCAATAACATCCTTTTTTGGCATTCATGAATGTAATAAGTTTTGTAGACTCTTGTGTCTTAAGTTGAGACCAAAGAAGACCAATGCCCAATAATTTAACAATCAGAACTCTAAACTTTGAAAGACAGTTACAAAAATTATTATATTTGATGTTATGTTATACAACTTTGTAGAGTTATGTTACATGAGTCTGAGGACTGAGAACTCTTGGTAAATAATGTGCATTTTTATGAACAAATTTTAATACAAAATTTTATAATATAGTATTAAAGCTTGTAATACAGGGTACTTCAAATTTTCCCTCATGACATTATTAGTCAGATACTATTCAAACTATTTTATTTGTTATGTTAGTTTTCTATGATTTTTGGTATATTTCAAAGGACTCAAGTGGTCTCCTTTTGACAATTAAACTGATCTGGCATTAGACAGCAAAATGCTGAAGTACAGATGTGTATGGTAAATCAGGGCACACTGCCATTAATGGGTTGATGGGCAATATGACCAAATGTGCCCTACTATACAAGTAGGGCACACTTGGGTGCATTACAGCTTAATGGGTTAAGCACCAGTGCTCTCCCCTTGATGAGTAAAATTGTCTGGCATTAAGGAGAGTGAAATAATAAGGTAGGGTGCATCAGGGCGCAATGCGATTCAATGGATTAATTGTGAACCATAATTACTGTACAGTATTTGTACTTTTACAGAAATATTAACTTTCAGTTATATTAACATTCTGAGCTTAAAAGAAAAACTACATTGAAAGAGTGCATTTCTCCTTCAAGTACAAATATGCATTTGTCCATTCATCTGGCTTAATCGTGTCATTGTCTGGAATGAGACGCTCGCATTCTGCTCTGAACTCTTCAGTGAGAAAGTCATCTGGGACTTGAAGAACACCAGATTCTGTTGCAGCCTCTTGAAGTTGTTCCTCAGTAACTGCAAAACCTGTAGTAGAAATGAATGGAAATTGTCTTTTTAGATATTTATTATAGTAACTGTATATAGTCGTCAGTTGATGCTACTTGCCTGCCTGACACTCCCCACAATTTGTTTCATGTAAAATGGCCAGAACAATAATTTTCAAAGGTTCCAATAAAATAGGAGGGGGACAATTCTGCCCTGGGCCCCCATCTCGAAAGGGCCCTGCAAAGCAGCTGTGGTCTATAAAACCAACAGTCGATTATAATTTTGTGATGAATTTCACAATTAACAATTATTCCCATCATTTGCAGGATAATAAAACCAATACAACTTACCGCATTCTTCAAGATTGTACTGTTCAGGGAAGTTATAAATATGTTCCGGTACACCATCAGGAAGTAGTGTGTCTTTTTGGGCTCGGATTCTGTGTGTGTTCCACACTTTTTCCCTGAAAATATCTAACTCTTTCTGTATAAGTGGCACCATAATAAAAGCCAAAAGCATCCTATATTAAAAACAAAATACCAAAATTTGTGATGGATCACCAAGGGAATAATGACCTTAGGTGAATGTTTCAACCCATGAAATATAATTAATATCACTATGTATTATTGACACAAGATGGGCTGGAATCCGGTATCAGATTTATATTTTGTACATTCACATTTTGCAGATTGAAAGAGAAAGAAAGTATTGCTTCTGATGAGCACAGACCATGGGCACTGTCTGTGCCCTAACGTAGTATTTTACTCTAACTCTGTCTAACAACAGAATGCCTTTAATGGGTTTAGTTAAACAATTAAAGTTATAGGATTAAAGGTTATTGCAATACTTTCGCTTTAGAATATTTATGAAAATGAGTACCACTGCAGGGGTGATTTGAAACATACTGTACGTACTAGTAGTTGATTTGAACAATGGGTATTTACTTAACTTTCACAATGTTTACCTGTCAGTGTTATTATGAGGGTCATAGTGGCATTGGTCTTTCAGCCAACACAACTGTGTTTTAAAGAACTTTTCCATTCGTTCGTGGAGCTCTTTCCACCATCTTTCAATCTACAAAATAAATACATGTCACAAGGTTTGTTAACATCTTTTAATCTCTGTTCAATTATTTTCTCACTACCACCACATGTGTAGTCTGCCACAACAAAAGTAGCAGTGTCTTTAATAAATTTTTACACACATACATACTAGACCAAACCCTAACAAATGTATCAAATTACAAGGGTAGGAGGGTAGAAACTACCATATTTATGGAATAAGATGCTATATTTTGAAGTGCATGCCCATATAAGGGCATAGAACCTTTCCTTGGGGCCCCCAGTGTGAGAAACCTGTTTCTCACTTCTTTCATACTTCAGCCAGCAAGAAACATAATTCAAATAATAAGGGGGCAGTGAGATCAGTTTTCTGGTGTTTATCCAATACAGATACTGTGTATTATACAGTATACCTGGTAATACAAATCTCAGGCACAGAATAGATGCATACAGAAGGTCAACTTCCTGGTTTTGCCTCTGATTTTGGTGTAACCATTGCAGTGCTGACACCATGGTCCTAACCAGTGTGCTTATGATAGGCATTCATCCCCTTAAAATATTCAAATTAATGGGCAGATGTCCATGGCGGTGAATACTTCTCATAAGCACTCTGACTAGAACCATGGCATCAGCATTTTGATGACAAAACATTCTGAATCATGGCGTGACAGAGGTAACGCTCTTTTGGCTGAGTCAACCTTCTGTATGATTGTATCTATTATGTGCCTCAGGAATATTCTGATAATTACAGGGTATTTACCCTCTACTTTCACTGATTATATCTGAGAGTTTCTGCCGATATTAATTAAAACTTACTTGATTTGATGTTGAAGGCCCATAAATAACTGTCTCGTGTGGATCCATGTCTCCATGATACCTCCTTAGAAATGAATGCATCGTGGCCATTACCCCTGTTTCAGTCCCTTTGTCTACTCTAAGAATGGCTGAAATTATCTTTGTTTCGTAGAGATGCTCCAGGTACCATCGTCCAATTATTTCGGGGTCGCTATTTGTTACCCATATTCTAAGCCAGAGAAGTTTTCGGCTTGCTGTATCCAGGCAACCATATATAGCTAATGGGAAGGTAGAATTTTGATATCCCATTAGCTTATCGTGGCCATCGAGTGAGTGAACCCAGTTAGTCCCTTTTGTGGTGAAATTGCCTTTCTTTCGTTGTTTCTTTCCACCGACGCCACCTCTTTCTTCGAGACCTTCGGGGCACAATTCATACATAACATCGTAAACTTGATCACGGGTAACATTTAGGCCATGTTCTTGCCGAATTTTCTTGTGCATTGCGCGATATCCCAGTAATCTTCCTGGTCCTTTTAGTTCAGTTTCAACCGCCTGGATGACTTCATCTACTGTCACGCTATTATCTTTGAAATATAAGTTAAAATGACGGAGTCTTCGGTCCAGTGATCTAAGACTCCATGCATATTGCGGGAAGTCACGAGTTAAAAAATCCAGAATTTCACGTCTTTGAAGGTTTTGGCCAACATACTTTACCATGGATTCTTGAAGATCATTATCATTTTTCCACAACGCCTCTCTTACGTCCGACATCAATACATTGAAAAATTTAAAACTTGAAAGAGAACCTTGCTTGAACAATCGATACAAAGATACAAACCAAACAAACAAATCCTTTCAGCCTGCAATACCCGTAGCCTCCTTCGCAGGCATCGCCTTTCGATTTCGGGCAAGATTTCTTGCAGGCAAAAAATTTTTCACGCGCGCATGGCATCATGGTAGTGGCAGCGCTCGGCCACAGAGAAATTTACTTTTATTTTTGTTTGCATTTCACTTTGAATATAACTTTAGTTTTCGGTTGAAGTTGTATTTGGAATGAACTTTTATTTTAAATTGCTTTAGCTTTCGCATTTCAAATGAAAAAAAATTTAACTTTATTTGAGTTTGTGAGTGGTATTTACATTTACTTTTACATTAACATTTTATTTTACTTTAATTGTCTTTAATTTTTGAATTTCAATTTGTAAAAAACTGAACATTTTTAAGTGGCAACGCTCGGCCACCATAGAGGCCTATATATATATATATATATATATATATATATAAATATATATGTATATATATATATATATATATATATATATATATATATATATATATATATATATATATATATATATATATATATATATATATATATATATATATATATATATATATATGCGTATATATTATTATTATTATTATTATTATTATTATTATTATTATTATTATTATTATTATTATTATTATTATTATTATTATTATTATTATTATTATTATAAATGTACAGCGTTAGGAAAATGATGACTATTGCTATTAGAACTACATATTACATTTTTTGCTGCCGAAATAAGGAATGGGAAAATCCGCATTTACTAACAATTTGACTTATCTCATTGTATATATATATATATATATATATATATATATATATATATATATATATATATATATATATATATATATATATATATATATATGACTCAAACGTGTGCTTTGAGCATCCAATAAAGACTATTATTATTATTATTATTATTTATTTTTTTTTTTTTTTAAACTTTCTCGCTGAAACGTTTCAAACAACAAATCCATGTCAACTTTATGCTGACCTATCCGGCCACAAAAGCCCGTCAATTATAACTGGTGACCTATATCGACCGGACTTACTCCTAATTACCCCAAATGAAGATCTTTATGTCCTTGAACTTACTGTCGGGTTTGAATCTAATCTACATAATAACGTTAAACGCAAAAAAGCAAAATACAAAGATCTAATTGAAGATCAAAGGGGTCACTTTAATTCTGTTAAATTTGTAAACCTATCAATGAGCTCTCTCGGTGTGTTTGACAAAGAATGCTTCACCTTTTTAGAAATGTTAGACACTATAGGAATGGATAAAAAGCAGCAACATTACTGCATAAAAAAGATGACGTCTTATGCCATTAGAGCGACGTACTATATTTTTGCTGTCGAAACAAAGAGTGGACAAACCCTGAATTGTTAAACATTTAAATTAATAACTACATATAACAATATATATATAATCATATACCCATTTTATTCTTGTTTTTACTGCAAATAGTACATATGTAGTACTCTGTGATTCATGTAGCCAATTGTAAATTACCTAAGTCAGTAGTGAGATTTACAATTGTATATATACGTAAGAAATTCAATAAAGTTTTCATTATTATTATTATTATTATTATTATTATTATTATTATTATTATTATTATTATTATTATTATTATTATTATTATTATTATTATTATTATTATTATTATTATTATTATTATTATTAGCGATGGCGGCCACATGCTACACGTCAGGAAGAAACGGCTGTGCTTTATAAACGAAAATACGACTTTATACTATTTTCTTGTTGTTGAAATTCCTGCACAAAATCCAGCTTGCTGTGTAAACGAGACAAATTCGAACAGACGAACTCAGAAAGGCAATAGTTTAAACGATTTTGTGAAACTCTATGTCAGCGATAGCAAGTCAATATGGCTAATCGAAGGCAATATAAACACAGGCGTAAATGGACAGATCAAATGAACGAGGATCTTTTGAGTTGCAAACGCGAGGCTGTGGCAATGACACAAATGGAACAACCACCGTTGGATGGAAATAGCAAGAAAAAAGGTTATATTAAACTCATGAAGGAGCTATGGGATGCGAAAGGATATAATGATTTTGGCTTCTCAAGCCAAAATTTGCGTGATCAAGCTGCAAGGCTGGAGAAATCTTTGGAGCTGGGAGACTCGAGAAACGTATCAAGAGATTCTGTTGCTATAAACCAAAGCAATTTACCGGAGTTGAATAAGAACAATTTAATACGGGATTCGCAAACGGGAGAGGGCTCAAACGGTTTCGAAATGCCGGCGAAAGATGCCGCCTTGATTGATGAATCGCAGTATACAAATCAAACGAATGAATTGCAAACAACAATTAACCCGCCACGATTTGCATAATAGTCAACATGAAATTCCTGGAGCACTCGACCAGAACGAAGATAAATCAATTATCTCGGGCTGTCTTCCGGAGTATAATAATGTAAATAAACCACCTATGATTAATTGGGGGAAGCGAGGCGCGATGGACGAACAATAGTTATATCGACTTCAGACATTACAGATGCATATGATGAAATTACAACTTGGAAAAAAAATGTTTTTCTAGTGCCATACGGGAAAATAGGAAGGGATTTATCGATCAGATAACGATGCATATAAACGACTGGAATAGCGGTTCGGAAAATCAACATGTTTCCCTACAAGATGTTTTTGTACTTCTCGCCGTTGGGCTTCAAAAGCCAAACCCAAAGTACAAGGCAAAGGACCATCAAAATGCCTTGTCAAAGCGACTTGCACTTTGGAAGGACGGTGATATCAATAAGCTATTACGTGAGGGACGAATCATACAAAGTCGTATTGGAAAATTTAAAGGATCAAACCACCCTGATAAAGCTAAAGTGTTTGCTAAGCTTGTGCTAGAAGGTCAAATCAACTCAGCCCTTCGCTTCCTGAGTGAAACCACAGATGGCGGCGTGTTAACGTTAACTGACGATGTAATGACGCAATTAAAACAGAAGCATCCTGAGCCACAACTAGCAAAACTCGGATCGGTATTATTTGGCCCGCTCAACGACGAGATACCCGAATCTATTTACTCACAGATCAATGGTGAGATGGTTAGACAAGCAGCTTTGAGAACAAAGGGATCCGGAGGCCCGTCTGGTGTCGATGCTAACGGCTTTAGAAGCATGTTGGCATGTAAGTCCTTTAAGCAATCATCCACAAGACTGTGCGAAGCTATAGCGAGAATGACCAAGACTTTGTGCACACAATATATCGATCCTACCACTATTGAAGAATTGATTGCTAGTCGTTTAATTCCCCTAGACAAAGGCGAAGGTGCGGTAAAACCTATCGGAGTAGGAGAGGTAATAAGGAGGATAAGTGCAAAATGTGTTAAGAGCTTTGCAAAGAAGGATGTTGTGGAAGCAAGTGGATCGTTACAATTATGTGCTGGGCAAAAGTCTGGAAGTGAGGCTGCAATACATGCAATGAACACCCTGTTTGAAGCTGGTGACATTCATGCTGTTTTACTTATCGATGCTTCTAATGCATTCAATGCACTCAACAGAACTGTGGCTCTGCATAACATCCGTGTGTTATGTACGATAATCGCTGCCTACGCTATAAACATCTACAGACAGCCAGCTCGGCTGTTTATTGTTGGCGGCAAAGAGATTGCGTCAGCAGAAGGAACCACACAAGGAGATCCTTTGGCAATGGCCTTTTATGCGATAAGTACCCTGCCTTTGATCACGAGTCTACAGGCCGCATCTACCGTGAAGCAGTGTTGGTTCGCAGACGATGCGAGTGAAGCTGGTTGTGTGACACAAATTAAAGATTGGTGGGATGCATTGAATACTCTTGGTCCAAATTTGGGATATTTTCCGAAAGACGAGAAATGCTGGATTATTGTTAAGCCCGAAAAGGAAGAAAGTGTGAGAGAAGTCTTCCATGGAACGGATATCAACGTAACAGTGCATGGGCAAAAACATCTGGGAGCAGCGCTAGGTTCACGAGAGTATCTGGAGGAATATGCCAATTGGAAGGTCTCTAATTGGGTCAACGAAGTGACAGCATTAGCCGAATTTGCACTGTCTCAACCACAAGCGTCCTATGCCGAATACATATTTGGTTTGAAACATCGTTGGACCTACTTCCTAAGAACCCTGCCAGACATCCAGGACCTACTAGAGCCACTCGAAAAGGCAATATCGCAGATTCTCATCCCCGCTATCACAGATCACCAGTGCAATCCACTCGATCGGGACATTCTAGCACTTCCAGCATGTCTGGGTGGCCTCGGCTTGGAAAATCCAAGTCATGAGGCAGAACGTCAGTATGTGTCGTCAAAAAGAGTGATAGCACCCCCTGTTGATCAGATTGTAGCGCAGTTACATGAGCTACCCGACGAGTCGCATATAAAATCAGCGCAACAAGCCGTTAGAAAAGAAAGAGTGCAAGAGTGGGAGGAGAGGGCAGAACGTATTAGAGAGAGTGCACCACCAAGAATTCAGCGTATATCAGATGTGGCTTCGGAAAAAGGATCATCTGTGTGGCTCACAGCACTTCCCTAAAAGAACAGGGATTCAACTTGAATAAGGGAGAATCTCGGGACGCCGTAAAGCTGCGCTATGATTGGCCAATCGACGACATCCCCTCCATATGTGTATGTGGGGATACCTTCACGGTTGACCATGCTATGATCTGCAAACGTGGAGGCTTTTTAATTATGCGCCACAATGAGTTAAGAGATCTGGAAGCGGAACTCCTCAACATTGTCTGTAGTGAAGTCCAAGTTGAGCCTGTCCTACAAAACATCTCGGGAGAGCAACTAAATGGAAGCTCCAACAGAGCACCTGATGCTAGACTCGACATTCGTGCGCGTGGGTTCTGGGAAAGTCAACGATCAGCCTTTTTTGATGTAAGGGATTGTCCTCCCAATGCTGATTCGTACAAGGACCTGGAGCTACGCCAAGTCTACAACTACAAGATACACGAAAACGAGAAGAAGCGCCTATATGCAAGGAGAGTCCTCGAAATAGAGCAAGGAACATTTACGCCACTCGTATTCACCACCACAGGCGGTATGGGCAAAGAATGTATGAGATACCATAGTCGATTGGCAGAGTTGGTAGCCATAAAGAAAGGAGAAGATTATTTCGACAACTATGACTTGGATAAGAGCCAGAACCTCATTCGCTTTATTGAGATCGGCACTTACCTGCTTGAGGGGTTCAAGGGCAAGGAAAATCATGTATGATATTAGGAACATTGATTTTAACATTGAGAACGCCGAGAGTGCTATCTCTCAAACAATTTAGATTGTACAATATACAAAGTTTAATTGTTTAGTTATTTAGCGGAATATGTTAGTTTAGTTATTTAGCTACTTAGCGGTAAATATTTTAATTATGTAGCGGTATATGTTCCAGAATTTGTTTTCAAAATTTAACTGTACATATCAACAAACATTTAGACACTTTTTTAATTATACCCAAAGAACAGATTATATAATATAGTCATTGATAACAAAAGCATTGTTGTATATAATGAAATGATGAATAAAGTTGTAATTATTATTATTATTATTATTATTATTATTATTATTATTATTATTATTATTATTATTATTATACTACGGATAACAGCGAAAATATTTCAGAAAATGAACACAACGGCAATGATATTAATACAGTTAATTACGATAGTTTTCCTGAACTGAAGAAAGGCATAAATCTCCCGAAAAATGATTCTGAATGGTCAACGGCTAATGATTATTTTAAATGTGCACTCCAGCCAAGTGATCCAATCACATTGCAAGATCTAAATTCAAAAATCAAGCTTTTAAATGACGCGATATACAGCTACTTTGCAAATAATTATGGACATACTGAAACTATACCCGACAAAAATATGGTAGCTAAATATAAAGAGTATACGGTTAAAGAGTTAAAGAAAGCTTTAAAAAATTTAAAATCCAGAAAGGGTGAACTTAGTGAAATTAAATACGTATCGCGTACATTGCGTGACAGGCTCCGTAACAATGGCAACGACGCCGATGACTTAAATGACAGTGAGTCGTTTAATCACAACAAATATCTGGAACGAAGCTTTTGGGGCTATGTTAAAAATATAATCAATAGAAAAGACGCAGTATTACCATCATTTAACATGACTGATTGCCTTTCTTATTTCTCTAAATCTCTGGCTAAAATTAATCCTAACAAGCTATTTGTAATTCCCAGCTGGATCCCAAAGTTATCTGATCCTGCAGTTCAATTTAACCTTGACCCCCCGACCTATCAACAAATTACAAATGTTATACGCAAAATGAAATCGTCTGGTTCTCCTTGCCCTCTTGATCAACTTTCTATAATAAGTTTCAAGCATTGTCCTTATCTGAGAACTTACCTTACTGAGCTAATTCACGATATTTGGCTATCTGGAACTGTCCCAACTGAGTGGAAAAGAGCATGTACCATACTAATCCACAAGAAAGGCAACAATAATGATCCTTCAAATTTCCGCCCCATAACACTCGAATCCATACCTTTAAAAGTATTTACATCTTGTCTCCGAAACGCAGTATACTCCTTCCTCGCATCTAATAACTTCGTCGAACACAACATACAAAAAGGCTTCACCCCCAACCTATCTGGCACTCTAGAACATACTGCACAAATGGCTGACATTATTAATAAAGCTCGGATCAGACAACGCTCTGTTGTCATCACCCTACTTGATCTTAAGAATGCCTTCGGCGAAATCCATCACAACCTCATTCAATCCGTACTTGACTACCACCATATCCCTGATCATATAAAATTTGTTATAAAAAGTTTATATACTGATTTCCAAACCTCGATAATTACCTCTGAATTCCGCACTCCTTTTATGACAGTTGGCCGTGGCGTATTGCAAGGAGATTGCCTCAGTCCTCTTCTTTTTAACATGTGCTTCAATACATTCATTCAGCATATCAAGGCTGAAAAGTACCGTCAATTTGGGTTTTCCTTCAAATTACTAAATCCCATCCATTGGTTCCAGTTTGCTGATGACGGGGCTGTAATCACTGGCCAAGAATCCGAAAATCAACATCTATTAAATCGATTTTCTATCTGGTGCCAATGGTCCGATATGATTATCCGAGTTGACAAATGCAGTACCTTTGGCATTAAAAAAGCGATCACAAAATCAGTTCAGTACTTGCCAAAACTCCTCATCAGCAATCAACTAATACCAAAAATCACCATTGGAGAATCATTTCAATATTTAGGACGTTACTTTGATTTCCACATGTCGAATGATAATCACAAAACTGAACTAACCACCCTACTTAACGAACTAATGTCTGATATTGACTCAAAGCCACTACACCCCAAAAATAAACTGCTCCTCTACAGTCGCTACGTCTTGTCCAAGTTAGCCTGGCACTTCACCGTCGCAACACTCTCTAAAACATGGGTTACTGAAAATATCGACTCTATTGCCAACAAATATATCCGCAGATGGCTTGATGTACCAATATCAGGAACACTAAGTACTGTCTTTCTAACAAATAACAAATTTGGCCTGAGTATTTATCCTCCATCTGTAAAATTTATCCAGTGTCAAACAGTCCTCCGAAAAGCTTTAAAATCTTCTCCTAATGAATCAACTA